TAAATTTTCATTTACATTTTTTTTCTTTTTTTTTTTTTTCTTTCAACCCCGGGAAAAAAAAAGATTTTTTTTTTTTTTTTTTTTTTTTTTTTTTTTTTTTTTGTAAAACAAACTTTTTTTTATTTGAATACGTTATTTATGACCGTTTAACTCATTATTTTGCATGTTGCTTTATCGCGAGATCGATGTAAACAAATTTTTTTCTGTTTTGTTTTTGCTTTTAGCGACAATTTCTTTTTTTCGATAATAATTGAAAAATTATATTTGGTTTAAATCATCAATTCTATAATAAATTTTAATTTTTCCCATTCAATAATGAGTGAAACCGAAACTATTGTTCGAGATATTTTTGGTGATAGTGATGAAAGTGATGATGAATTCGAAGGATTTGATGGTGATGTTGGTGGAGAAAAATCTCCGGATAATCAACAACAATCTGATGATAAAAATGAGGATAATGATGATGAAAAAAAATCTAATGACGATAAAGAATTTGGTTCAGAAGATTCATCGGATGAAGAAATTTCAGCAAATCGTCCGGTAGAATTGGATGAAGAAAAAGAATCTGAAGAACAAATTGCCAAAGAGGCAATACCCGATATATCCGATAGTGATGAAAGATCCGATGATGATGATGATATTAATCGAAATGAAAGACAGTAAGTAATTTTATAATCTTTTAAAAGAATTTTCTATTTATTTATTTTTTCAAAAAAAATCAGTGGTATGATGTATGACTTTGATATAATGTTACAAAAACGTAAAGAAATGAATTCAAGACGAAGGCGACGAAAAAATATTGATATTATCAATGATAGTGATGATATAATTGCCGAATTGATACATGATATGAGACAAGCAGCTGATGTAATTATCCTAATTTTTATTGTGAAACATTGATTAACATCTTTTCCCTTGAACATAACAGGAGGATTTTGAATTGAATCGTAATCGTCAAACTGCTACACGAAAATTGAAAATGATGTCATTAGTTGAAACACAATTGAAAAAGATTGATCTTCGTGAAGCATTATTGGATTCAGGAATTCTAAGCGTTATTACCGATTGGTTGACTAGATTACCTGATGGTAGTTTACCACATTTACAGATTCGTGAAAAATTACTTAGAATTTTAAGTGAATTTAATATCGATGATATTGATCGTATTAAAGCAAGTGGTATTGGAAAAGCTGTCATGTATCTGTATAAACATCCAAAAGAAACGAAAGAAAATAAAAAAATCGCTGGTCAATTAATTGCCAATTGGTCTAGGCCTATATTCAATATGGATTCCGATTTTCATGCCATTAGCCGTGATCAACGTGAAAAACGTGATTTCGAACATATGGCCAAATTCAAACGAAGTCAATCAGATTCGGGTGAAGCTTCAAGTTCAAAAATGGCTAAAACCGAACAAAGAATTATTCGTCCGGGTGAAAAAGGTTGGGTACCTCGTGCACGTGTACCGATGCCATCAATGAAAGATTATGTTGTACGTCCAAAATCAACCGTAGAAATGGATTTGTCACGAATAACAAGTAAAAAACCCATTACAAAATTGGAAAAACATATGCGAAATTTTCGCGAAATGAAAAAAATAAACAAAATGAATCGTGCTATACCTATAAGTATCGAAGGAAGAAAAATGGCATTATGATTCATTTTTTTCAATTTTTTATTCTTGAATATAAATTTCTCGTTTTATTTTTATTATTATTATCATTGCCCACATTTGGTTTCAAGCAACATGTCACACACATTTGATGACAGATTTTTCAATTTTTCGTTTGGACATATAATGTATCACGTGAATGAATGCCAACATTTTCCAGTGTTTCTTGACCATCACATGAACTAAGATTCTTTTTGGGAAAATTTGTAATCAAATCATATTCATTCATATTGTATCCATGTTCAGTTACGTATAAAAATAAAGCCTATTCATTTATGAATGAATGAAAAAAACAATTATGGAATATTATTGAAAATTTTTCCGTTTACCTTTAGTTTGGAATCGGATGGAAACATAACTTTTTCTTTATTACCATTTGGATATCGTATGACTATTTCCATTTTATTACTTTCATCTGATCCAATATAATTTTTCCAATTATCTTTTGGTTCATGTTCTTCCATTGATGATTCATGATGTTCAATGTTTGAAGAATGATCATCGGGATTACCCGTCGAATGATCTTCCATATCTTGTAATGATGCCTTAATTGCGGCTTCAATTTGTTCACGTTCACTTTCATCATAAGGATTTTGCTTTAAAAAAATACAAATTAGTTGATGTTAAATATAATCATCTTTTAAAATTACTTTTTGAAAATTTTCATAGGAAATACTGGGATTATTTGCCGTTTCAGATTTTCCTGCTGGTGATGGATGTTCATTTAAAAATTGTGTAACTTTTTCACAGAATGTAACCGTATCTAATTCATGCCAAAAGATGATTTTTTCACCTTAAAAACAGATGATTAAAAATTTGAAAGCTTTCAATTTAATAAATTTTACCTGTACGAGGATCAATGATTGAAATGTATGGAAATTGATGTACCTGATAGAATGAAACAAAATTTTGTCCTTGTTGGGTATCATGATAAGTCTATTTATGAATGAAAATTTGTAAATCTTATTAATAAAGACAAAATAAAATGAATGAATGATACAAACCTGCCAGAAAATAAAATGTTCATTGATAATATCTTTAACAGCCGAATTACTCCATACATCACGATTCAATACTTGACAAGAAAATTCTTTTGGATCCTGTATATTTACTAAAAGCCATTTATTTGATCGTTGACCTTCATATTTGGCCTTAGAATTTCAAAAAAAACGAATAATCAAACATCATCGAAATCATCAATCAACCACATACCATATCAAATGATCCACGATAGATTAGATCCAATGGTGGACGAAATAAATCATCAAATGTTCGTCTTCTACTTGAATCGGAGGAATGTTGTTCAGGCTCCTCATTAAGCTGTTGTTCTTGCCATCCTGTTTTTATAAATATTGAATATTAAATTTTATAAAATTTTGATAATCAAATTTTATACTTGATTCTTCTTGAAAATTACGAAAACCATCAAAACCAGTACTGGTATACATATTACGGGGATAATCTTCGACAAGTACTTGACGAACTGGTGGAATTGGTGGCCGAACTTCTTCACTAAATGATTCAGAATTTAAAATTTGTGACAAACAAACATAAAGACACTACACATACGTAATAATTGGAGGTGCTGAATTAGTTGCTGTTGCTGGATTATTGGTTGATGATGACGATGATGTTTGAGCTAGATTTGAATCCAAAAACATATCCATAGCTAATTCTACATTCCAATTACATGCTTCTAAAGCATTTTTAGCTATCGATTCATCGGCGCCTAACAGAAAAAAATAATCATATAAAATTAATTTTACAATAATCAATACATACCAGTAATATTTATAAATTGTGTTAATAATGAATCCTGTTCGGTTTGATTTTCCATCATTCGCAAACAATTTATTTACGTTTTAAATTTTCAATATTTAAATTTCAAATTTATTTAATTCTTAAAAAAAATTATAATAATTAAGCTGCGTTTATTCTATAGTTGAAAACAATTGATTCTATTCTTTCAAAACAAATAAAAAATGATGATGATAATAATTAAAATATATTTCGATTATATTTAGCATGGTCACCATAGTGCGCTGTGTTTTTAATAATATCAATTGTGTGTGTGTGTGTTTTTGTACGCGTTTTGTATACATTCGATGCTTTTGTCTGAAGTCAATTTTTTTTTTGGTTGGAAGATCCATACATAAATATAAGGACGATTGACCATTTTTTTTTCCATTCATTCGAACAACCAAAACAAACTGAATTTTTTTTGAAACAAACAAATGTTGAATCTGAATGAATAAAGTGTTTGATTTAATTGAAACACAAAAATGAATTTGGAAAAAGAATCTTCAACCGATTCCAATCGTCGTTTACTTTCGTTGGTAACACGTTTATGTTCAACATTGGTTCCAAATGAATCAGGTTTTTTTGAAAAAATCAATTTTTTGTATTCAACTTATAATTTTCAATTTTAAAAATAGATAATTTTGATAAAATTTGTCATTATTCGTTGGATTTGATTAGTAAGAAAAAAATTTCAATCGAAGATTGTGAAGAACAATATATTCTTTCAAAAATTCGTCATTCTTGTATGTATTTATATTTCGAATAAAAATTTGAGTAAAATTTGTTCTCTATTTTAGTTTTGAAAAAATTATCAATCGAAGATTTGAATCGTTTTGAAGATTTATATCTACATTTGAAATCAACATTACCAAAATCATTCAACATTCGTGAATTATTATATTGTTTATTTTTGTTGTCAAATTCCACTTCCATTGATAATGCTACAATATTCTCAATTTCAAATTCGATCGAAACTATGAAAATTGCTAAAAATGATTTGGATCTAGAATATAGGCATTCTCATCATTTTGGTAATAATAATGGTATTCAAAGAGATCGAATGATGACCAATCCTAATCGACATACCGTTCATGTTTATACTGATAATAATAATGATTCCAATTGCAAGATAAGATCCAAATATACCTTACTTGCTAAAGATTTGATATCAATATTCCAAGGTTTACATGGTAAACATATCAATTTTCAAACTGATTCAAAATTTTCTGTAACTTTTGGACGAAATGATTTATTTTATTCGAATGAAATCTATTTCGCCAAACGGTTATCAGTATTGGGACAGAATTTTAAAACAATCAAAACTTATAGCCAAACATCGATGAATACAACATCGAAAGGTTTTGTTGTACAAAGTTTTGGTTCAGCATTGAATGATGAGATTAATAATTTCTACAAATTAATGACTTCCATCCAAGCCAATTTTCATAAACCTGAACAAACAGTTACATTACATAAGCTTTGTTTTTGGACCACCGAATCATTCATTTGTTTTGAAGCGTTAGTAAATCTAATTGGTAAATGTCGTTCGAAAAAAGGTGGTGCCTTAATCAGCATTGTTTATGATATAATGCATCATGGTGATCCATTAGTTCGTGAATGTTATCGAAAAATTTTATCCAAAGTTGTTAAACCAATTCGTAAAATGCTCAATCATTGGATCTTCTATGGCGAACTGAAAGATGAATATAAAGAATTTTTTATCAGCACAAATGATAATGCCAAAAATGTGATTACAACATCGTTGAGCGATGTATTCTGGTTTGATCAATACTCAATCAATAATTCAATGTTACCCGGATTTATAAACAAAGCTCAAGCATATAAAATCCTAATCACTGGTAAAGCTATTTCAATGTTACGTGAAGTTAGCATGAATCGTGTATCAGCCGTATTACCATTATATGATCAATTGAAAAATTCATTTGAAAATTCCAATTTAGAAATATTATTTGATCAAAAATATAGCTCTGAAGCTAATGATTTTGCCGGACTTTTGGATTATGTTTACAAAGAAATCAGTCAAACTGCATTGAATATATTGAATGCTAAATATCAATTGTATGAACATTTTATTGCACATAAACGCTTTCTTTTGTTTGAACAAGGTGATTTCATTAGTTATCTGATGGAATTATTGTATCCAATCATAAATCGACCTGCCAATAAAATACGGCCATACACATTATCGCAAACATTGGAAAATGCTATCCGAAAAACAAGTGCTCAATGTTATGAATCAAGTGATATTTTATCACGAATCGATATCTATTTTGATCCGAATTTTCCAATGGAAAATGCCTGGGATATTTTGACATTAAAATATCGTATCGATGGACCAATCGGAACAATATTCAATCAACAAAGCCAAGTAATTTATACGAAATTGTTTGCATTGTTTTGGCGAAATAAAACAATTGAATTTTCATTGAATAAATGTTGGATTGATTTGAAAAATATTTCCACACAATTACGAGTAGCATCATTTCTTCGTTTATCAAGTAATCATTTTAATTATCTGCTCTATCAGATATTATCGTTTACCAAAACTATTGAACAGTATTTTAATTATCTACTTGAAAGTCGATGGACACAGGTCAAAAATGAACTAGATCAACCAAGAAATCTCAACAGATTGATCAAAGTTCATCATATTTTCCTACAGAATTTAGTGAGTAAATTTTTTTTCGAAAATCTTCTACGCCAAGAGAATGCCATCAATAAATTGATATTATCGTTTATTGATAAACTTGAATCATTTATAAATGATATTGTACATAATAATCAAAATGTTGAAAAATTTTGGGGCGATCAAATGGATCAATATCGAAAAGAGATTGAAGAAAATTACAACTTTTGGCTGCATAATTTTTCTCGTATGTTACACAAAGAGATTTCATTATTTCTTGAATTATTGATCGATACCGATGAAGATGATCATCGTGAATTGTGTTTCAGTATCGATTTCAATAAATATTATAAAATGCAACATGTTATCAATTGATTCTCCTTATCATCAGCATTTCAATAAAATTTGTTTAAAATCACAAAAAGATTTTTTTGTAATCTGATTTGATCAGAAATTAAAGCACAAGCACGCACGCACACTCAAATGGCCATTAATTAAGATAGACATAGCATAAGACAATTTTGTTTCAAATTTATTTTTTCAATAAAAATTATCATTTTTATAATTTGATAAAGATAAATTAAAGAAAGAAAATAGAAGAAACGAGATCAAAATTATTTATATCTTGAACCATTCATTCATTTCAGTTTAGTTTGTGTCCAATTAGCGGCCAAAACAAAATTTACGAAAGATGAAATGAAAATTGTCCTTCACTGATAGCGATATTCAATTTTTCTCGCATTATATCGATAGTTGGATAATCGGGTAGCTTTAGATAATTAACACAAGTCATAACACTTGGCAAACAGTTCAAATTATCCGATTCAGTGGGATTCTTTTTGACAATTGTGAATGGTGGATTAAGACTTTTGAAACCGCCGATCGGTAGCCGTGGAAAACCGGTCAAAAATTGCAAAAACTTTCGCTGCTCTTCATGATTATATGAGCTGAGAATTTCAAATAAAAATTTGATTGCTCTGCTTTCGTGAGTAAATCCATGATCGATTTTACATGATTCCATCAACATTTTCTGATCCCAACTTTTATAACTTGATCCGCAAAATAATTGCTGAAGTTCTTCCGGATAGAATAGTTTGAGACGAGACAATTCAAAAACCGAGTTAAATCCTTCTTTGAAAGCTTCCATTTGTTTGGCTACACCTTCCTGTAGACTCCAGCATGAAACCAATTCGATGTAATTTTCCAAATTGTTCAAAGTGACTGCCATATCTTTTCCACCTCTACGCAATTCCATATTAGGAAATCCGGGCATTATAAAATCAAGATTTAAATCTTCGATAGAACTTCCTTGCAATTTCAATAATTCAGAATTGCTATTTATATTCTAAATATACAAACAAAAATTCAATGTATTAGGCATAACAATCTCAAAAAAAAACATCTCACCATTTTTGATTTCCTTTGAGCAATTCTATACATTTGTGAAATCGATGAAAAAAAGGTATAGTCAAGATGATAAAGATCCGAAACCGAAAGTGTGGATTCTTCACACAAAACCCATTTATAGAATATTATATTCAAATTGATGTCAATCTATCAAACAAAAAATAATTAAATTCAACTCATTAATAAATAAATTTTAAATAATAATTACCATTCGAAAATCCATCAATGCTTTGGCCATAAATTTGCCCAACAATTTGAATCGGTTTTTAATCTTGGTCGAAGTTGATGGTTTAGCATTTCTTCCGATCGGTGCAGGAAAAAGCCCATAATTTGAATTGATATAATTGGTGGACGAATCGGATTTTTCATTTTTAATATTATTTGTCAAAACTTCACCGCGCCACATTTCCAATTCAGCTCGTTGAAATTCTTTGGATACCAAAGCATAAAATTCCAATGTAGGACCAAGTCCGGTACCGACTTCATTTTCGTACTGTATCTCCAACATTGACTTTGAATTGGACACATCACTGAACAATGATTCGGCAAAACGGAAAATTTCATTACGTGGTATAAGTTTTCGACGTTTTTCCAATCGAGGTGTCAAAAAACGTTCCCGATTATCGCTTGATGAATATTCGGGTGTATTTTCGAATAATCGATGTAATGCTCGATCACGATCAAAACAAACAACATAAAAAAGAAGATAACGTATTTCAAATGGAAACATAAATGGACATGCGTATGCAAGTTCTGAAAGCCAATTGGGTAAACCTCCTGTCATGATGACCACAGGATCTTGAAGCTGGCGATTAGCTTTGACAGTTAATTTATTATTGGTAAATTCTTTCAACGGTATGGCAGGATTATAGATGTGTGAAAATTTATACAAATGTCCCCAAAAACGGTTAATACCGTAAAGAACTCGTAATAAAGAAATCACTTCGACCGTTTGATCACTGGCATTTACATTGATCGTTTTATTGTTCCTTATATAAGGCTCTAATGGCGAAACATTTTTCGATATTTTTCCTTCCAACCATAGTCCATCTTTCTTTTTATTGGCACTTGTTTTGCTTTTGCTTTTACTTCGTGATCGGCCATTATTATTATTATTATTATTGTTGTTGTTGTTGTTGATATTTGATGAAGATGAAACCGATGAAAAATTGGTTGACGAATTCAATGTATTTGCTTCGGTTAAAGGTCGATAATAGATGGGAAATGTTGAACCCCAAAATTTGGAATTACTTTGTTGATGATCATCACCATCATTTTCGATTTCATTAGACATGAATTGTTTGATAACTTGATACAAGGATATATTATAAGGCAATACATGTTCATGAATCAATAATTGAAGTCGTTGTCTTGTTTGCATCTGACTAGAGGAACTGAGATTTATATCAAATGTATCATCATCAGATAAATCGTCATCGCTTTGATCATCATCACTGTCTTTGATTTTACCATATCCTTTTGCTAATAAATAACGTTCAATAGCATGAACTGTTGTAAATGGATCCAATTTGATCAATGGGCCTTTATATTTTTTCAGATTCGTACATGATGGATGTCGATTCAAGCTGATTTTGAGAAGATGTGAATTGATACTTTTGAAAGCATTCGAACCTCGAGAATGAACAGCATAATCTTGAACTCGAACAGGAAATTGCTCCAATTGTGAAACACAAGCATTCAATTTGTTCACTAATATAGCCAAAGGTTTAGTATCAAAATTCAATTGATCAATATTTTCAGCCATATCACTTTTTGGTGCCCCAATGAATATATGCAAAAATGATCGTAAATCATTTTCTTGTTTTTCAACCATCATTACATTATCGGTAACATTCATTGTCAAATATGAAAATAAATTGCTAACCAGACCACTGTGAATGAGTTCGAATGAAGATAAATCACTGTCCATCAGAATGTTTTTGATTGATAGCAATCCTTTAGTTGAATCTTGTTTCAATATATTGATTGCTTCGTTTAAATCACCCAAAATGTTTGATGATAAATGAGTGTCTTTTTCATTCATATTTGTTTTAGTGAAGTATTTATCATCGAAAATTTTTCCCTGTTCTTTGATCCATGATTTAATCTTATCTTTGTTCGAGTTAGAAGATTTCTGCATAGATGCTATGTCTTTTGCTATAGCCGTCACATTCGAAGTGGTCGGAATGACATTCGAATTGGGATTCACTGAATTCTGTGTCCATCGAGCCCAACGTGTTGGATTCAATCGTTGAAGAAAATCTTTCGATGATGATCCTAACCGTGTTGATGAATTACTACTTTTGCCACTATGATTATTTACTGCTGCAGCGTTTGCTGTTATGTTCAGATTAGAACCGTTGATTGTTTCGCTGACCAAAAATGGTAAATTATTCAGATAGGTAGTAGATAAACTACTGCAGATGTTTAGATCACTGTCGCTAGTTGTTGTATTATTGCCAACATTATTTTCATTTGTTGATGAATGTTCATAATTTCGAGAACCAGAAAATGGTATACTTTTACGTGTACGTTTTCGACGCGAAATTTCTTCGTTTCTCCTAAATTTATCATTGAAAAACCGATTAATTATTGATTTTAAATTTAGAAAAAGTTAAAAACTTACCCCGAGGAAAGTTGATCAGAATTTTGTGATAATTGTTGCGAAATTTTATTATTTGACGATGATGATGATGATTTGGATGAAGGGTTCGAATGTGTTTGATTGCTAATTACAGACGAATGTGATGAAAAATTGGCAGACGAAAGACTGCTTTCGATAACGGCCGAAATAGATTCATTAGCTGTACGATTAAGAATCATTTGAGCATTTTCCAATATAGCCATTGGTGAGTTTGTATATACAATGCCACTATTATTATTATTGCCACTGTTTATTGAAGATAATAATGGCGTTTTACTGTTCATCATCAGCATATCACGTGATGATAATGGCAATGATTTATTATTAATATCCATAACAAATCTTGTTTCATCCGAATATAGTTTACGAATTTGATGAATAACACCTTCACGCTGAAAAAATATTGAAAAAATATCGGGCAATTTTTCCATAAAAATATTACACATCTGGACGGCACAAACAACAATTCGTAAATCTTGTGATGCCAACATTGTTGCAATAGAACTGGAAATTGCTTGATCTTCAAGAATTAAAATCAACAATTCTCTCGGTGCATAATAGATAATACGTAGGATAGCATTAAGACACTTATAACGAACGGAAAAACCCGCTGAATTGTTATATACTTCGTATAATACTTTGAAAACAAATTTGATGAAATTACTACTCAATTTGTGTTCGTTATAAATGAATTCGGATCTTGGATCGATTGTCTGCATATTATTGCGGGCATGAAGCTCCGAACTAGTAAATGTGTTGGTTTTTCGTTGAATTGCATAAGAATTTCCAGTATCTTCACAAATTTTCTGCATCGAATTAAAATCGACAATATAAGTACGATTTAAACTGGCCAATTCTAGTTCATCTTCGCCTGATTGATGAGCCGATTCGATTATTTTATTATCAACAACATTGAATGCTTGCCATAGGCCACGATCATCTTTCCATTGCCAAATGGCAACTTCGGAAGACTGAAGATTTGATTTTGAAAAAAATGTATCTATTGAAAATATTCCAGTGGATGGTAAACTAGGCATCAGTTCAGCAATAAATGCTGTAAGTTCACATATTTCTTGTGGACTCCGTGAAATCAAATTCATTTCATCATTTTTCTCTTTTACATTATTATTATTATTTTCACCACACAGTAGCAAACATTTAAGCGTCTCACAAATGTCTATTTTCGTAAGAGAAAAACATGGAAAAAATATTAGCATTAAAAATGAATAAAACTTAATTAATTAACACGCTTACTCAATTTTAGCAATTCGACAGCAATCTGTGAACAGGAAAGACACATGATGGACAACATTCGTATCACATTGACAAATGGTCCAGTGCTTAGTATGGGCGGCTTGGTCATAAGAACATTTTGTATGTTAGTTAACAATTCAGTGGATGCAATTTCACTGATGATAACACAATCATTTTGATAACATTCCACCAAACGATAGAATGCAAGACAAATACTTTCAATACATTTTTTATCTTCGATAGTTAAATGCGAACCAAGAATAGGTAATGAATCCTGAACATATTGAAAATCATCTGGTGATAGATTCTGAAAACAATTTGCCGTTATGTTCAATGCTGAACGTTGAGCATCAATCGAAAAGAAATCCAAATAGGTAAGACATGCCGATACACCTCTGGCATGTAATATTGACTTATTATGTCGACGACTAAGCATTTCAAGCGCAGATAATGATTGTTCAGCCACATCCATACATTGGATTACTTGCAGTTTTTCAAGAAAAACTGGAATAGCATCCAAAACAGCAACAGATGAACGGGGCAATGATTCCATCATATATGTTAATGCGCGACATGCATGATGCATTATTTCGAAATTATGTTCCATCGATAATAGATTTATTAATGTAGGCACAACCGCCTTGATAGGAAAACCGACCAATGTATCTTCGTTGCCCATCAGCAAAATCTGACACATTTCCAGCACATAATGAAGCTTTTCCGAATCATTTGCAGCTGAATTCAATCCATTCAATAACTGTTGAGCTTTTGTATTCGACGAACTGCTAAACGAACGATAGAATAGATTCTGCATACGAGGAATACCAAGAAAATGTTGTTGAAGAGCCCGTGATTCAAGAATCGTTTGCAAACGATTCATATCACTATCTTCATTATCATTATCATTTGATGAAGTCATTGCATATGTATTTAATATGGCACTGGTTCCAGGTGGATTAAGCTGATGTGCTGCTGTTGTATTCGATTCATTAACATTTGCATTGCCATTATTGGTTGATGAGTTATTTGCCGTTGAATGATGATTGTTGTTGTTGTTGTTTGAGGAGAAATTCGAACCATTTTGCTCCATAACAATACGATTAATGATACTACTGTTTGGTGGTGTTCGTCGTTTACCACTTGTTGTTGCTGATTCGTAATGATTGCTTGTTGTTCCAATTGATAATTTTTTCAAATTATTATTACTATCACTTCCACTGATCAAATTGTTGGTGGATGATGTTTTCGGTTTCTTTTTTGATGACAAAACTTTTGCTTCGATTGTTGTACGTTTTTTCGATACACGATTATTCTGAATTCCTGATGATGATGATTGTTGTTGCGTAGATGAAGAATCTTCTATCGTCTTTTCTTCCGTTTTCAGCTGCAAATTGTTTTCCTGTACTCGTTGCTGTTTACGAGTAGTAGGCCTGGATAAATCTTCAGAAACAACTGTATTATAATGAAATTGTATTACTACCAAAATCCTTTTTCAATAATCGATTTAAAAAACAAAAACAAAATGGATACCTTTACGTTGTTTTTTCTTCGATACCACCAAGGTTTTGATATTAGTATTATTATCAATGCTGCTGATGATATTATTTTGTTGTTCCAAACTTTTACGCTTATTATTGGTTGCTGTAATGCGATTTATGGCACAATTATTTTCACGGGTATCAACAATCGATGTACTACGTTTATTTACTGATGATGATGCTGGTGCTGCTATGACGACAATGCTATTATCACTATTACTCGTCGACGTCGTTGGTGTTGTTATTGATGATGTTGATGTTGATGATGACGAAGGGAAACAACAAATGTCGCTGATGTTTCGAGATCGAGATCTATATTAAAAAAGGCAAACAAACAAAACGAAAACACACACACAAAAAACGAAAGATTCAAGAGTAAAATTAGCAAAAAATCAATAGATTTAATTAAGAAAAAAAATTTCCTTTTCTCTTTTTGTTTGAAAGAAAATATTAACTAATTATTTCAATTTAAATCAAAGAAAGTAATAAAACAAACAAACCTTGTCAAGATAGGTGATGAACGAGACTTGTTGTTGTTTTTGCTATTAGTATTAGACTCTTTTGATGATGAAACAATATTCGATTTTGTTGCTGTTGATGATGATGATATTGATTTTGATGATGATGATTTTAATGAACGTTTTTTAACAGACGTTTCAACAATTTTTTTCAAGATGTTATTATTACTGGTGTTGTTGTTGATGGTGCCTTGATCTTTCTTCGGCGTTTTATTCAATAGTTTGTCTGCCATAGACACAAAATGTTGATCCAATATATTGTACTTGTTTTAATTCAATGATAAGCATATCATTTAGCAATTCAATTAGGAAAAATTTTAATAATTTATATATTGTTTGTGTGTTATGTGTTAATTGTGAAATGTGGAAAATTATGACGATGATGATGCAATTGAATGAAATAATAATAAATTTTTTTTGATAAGAATTTTCTATAGAATTCAATATTGGATCACGATCCAAATAGACACACAGTCCAAAAGTAAACTGTTCAATTCACACCACTCGCGTTCAGAGAGAATTGGCGAAACGTAGACTTTTTTCGATTTCTCTTTTTCTTGATCGAAAGCAACTAAAATGTTTTATTTTTACGTTTTAGTAGTTTTGTTGCTGCTAATTTATCTTATTATTTTTCAATTATTTAGATTCAGATTAACAAACAAACGAAAAAACAATGATTGTTTATATATAATTTTTTCTTTTCGTTTTCGATTTGATGTTTTCATTGAAAAATCATCAAATGCAGCATATGAAACATATCGAAATCGAATTGAATGAATTTTTCTTATTAAAGTTCTTCAAACAAACAAAAAATGAGTTTTTGTTTCACCAACAACAGCAACAGCAGCAGAAAAATCGCCTCGACAACAACGACGAATATATAAGTTGTTTGAAGAACAAATATATATTCTAACAGTATATAATTAAAGAAAACAGAAAAATTGTATTTGTGAGTATTTCTATTTTCTAAATTTTGTTTTTGTATAAAGTGGATTTTGGAATTGAATCTTTTTTCGATAATGATTACGATGATGATGATGATGAAAAAAGAAATTTGTATCGAGCTCAAAACAAGAAATGATATATTAAAGAGAGAAAAGAGTGTGTAAACTGTTTTGCGTAAAGTCACATTCGAATGATAAAACGCAGTATTATTTTTCCATTTCGAGATACACGGATGATTCGAAGGGCTTTTTCTTTTTTTTTTGCTTATTTTTGGCCAAAACTGGCACTACTACGTTGTGTGGTTGGTTGGTTCATTCATTTCGAACAACAAAAAAAAAATATTCGAATGGGCCGTCCCAGCAACAACAACAACAGACTAAATGGTTCCGTTCATATAGAATGTGTGCAAATTTTTTTGAAAAAATCTTTCTTTGGAAATTTCTAAATTGTTTTCTGGAAAAACAATTTAATTTAATCGATTGGTTTTATTGATTTGAACAACAATAACATATTTACGGATGTCTGCGCGATTGACGACGACATACTTGAATTATGATGATTTCAATTCAATTTAATTATTAGTAATCAATTTTTATCTCAATAAACAAACAAAAGATTTGATAAAGAAAATGAAAAATTTTCATTTAAAAACGCTGATCATCAATATGAGGATCATCATTTTTTCTTGTCATCTCTTCGAATCGAATCGCATCGATACGCCAAACAGAAAGAAAAATGCGTTGTTTATTGATAATAACATTGTTATTTATTCAATCAGCCGATTATTTTGTTTATTCCCGAAGATTATTGTTTGGACGTCCAATCGATAAACACGGATTTTTGGGTTTACCTCGTACTACGTTGAAACAATCCGAAATCGAATCAATCGCTAAAGAACAATGGTTTGAACAAAAATTGGATCATTTTGATCCAACCAATTTGTTAACGTGGAAACAACGATATTTTATCAACGATGATATGTTCAATCGAAGCAATACAAATTCACCGATATTTTTACAGTTAGGTGGTGAAGGTGAAGCAAGTGCAGTTTGGCTCAAAGAAGGACAAATTGCCACAAATTATGGTCCACATTATCAAGCATTACAAATTCTTTTGGAACATCGATATTATGGCCAATCAAGACCGACCCAGTAAGTTTTCAATATGATGATTTAATTTTCTATTGAATTTTTCTCCGCCAAAAAAGGGACATGTCAACAGAAAATCTTAAATATTTAACTAGTGAACAAGCATTGCAAGATGCAGCAAATTTCATTGAATTTATCAATGAAAAATATGGATTAAACAAACATAAATGGATTGTATTTGGTGGATCATATTCAGGTTCATTGGCTGCATGGTTTCGTATGAAATATCCACATTTAGTTGCTGGTGCTATTGCATCAAGTGCACCAGTACAAGCCGTACTTGATTTTGAAGATTATCTCAAAGTTGTCGATGAATCATTGGGTAAAAAATGTGTTCGTGAAATCAAATCAGCTACTGATGATCTGACCGAATTGATAAAATCGAAAAATAATTGGCCCGTTATTGAAAAGAAATTTAAACTGTGCACACCATTCAATGGCACAAATTCATTGGATGTTTCGAATTTTTTCGGCAATCTTGCCGGAAATTTTGAAGGTGTTGTTCAATATAATAAAGATAATCGTGCTTTTGAGGTAAATATTATTTGTTGCAAGATTTTTTTTTATTTTTGATTGAATTATTCCTCTGATGACAGGGTGGTTCAAGTATTACGATCGATGATTTATGTTCAGTAATGACAGATTTAAATTCAAATATCAATTCGACTGATCGTTTGGCTAAAGTGAATCAAATCCTATTGAAATCTCAATCACAAGAATGTTTGGAATTTAAATATGATGATTATGTGAAAAAAATGTTGGTTGTTGATTTTGATAAAACCGAAGTTCCCAGTGCTCGACAATGGGTTTATCAAACTTGTACGGAATTTGGTTTCTATCAAACATCCGATCGTAATGATCAACCATTTGGACATTATTTTCCATTAGATTTTTTCATAAAACAATGTATCGATATTTATGGATCAGAATTTAATAAGAATTTTCTGGAAAAATCCATACAATTCACAAATAATTTTTATGGTGGTTATAATCTTACTGTATCGAATGTTATGTTCATCAATGGTTTGATTGATCCATGGCATGCATTGGGTATTCTTGAAGATTTAAATCCCACTGCCAAAGCATTAGTTATGAAAAAGACTGCACATTGTGCCGATATGTATCCAGATTCCAGTGAAGATCCATCCGAATTAAAATCAACAAGAAATGTTATCAAACAAATGATTGGCAAATTTATTCAATAATTTTATTTGCGAACAAAAAAAATCAAATCTTTAAATATCTATGATGATATTGAAGATATTTATCATCATCATCATTATGATTATCACTGATTGTTAAGATTGTTATACCTAATAAACGACAATGTTGATAGATTTGATCAATTAAATTATCCATTAACGATAATTTGGTTATATTTTCAATAATTAATAATTTTGGTCGAATTATGAATGCAACTAAAAAATTTAATAAATGTTTTTGTTTGTCCAGAAGATTTTTTATTTGTTCATTTAGATTATCATCATTTGGATCGGTTTGAATTGGAAAATTGACTAATGATGAATATTCATTTAGATATGATATGATTGTCGAACGTTTTATCGGATCGGATAGCATTTTCTATGGAAAGAGAAAGAAAGATGATTTTTTTAAAATAATTATTTCAACCTTACCTTGAGAAAAAATTCCCCATAATTGGAATCAATCATAATAAACATGACATCAGTCAATTTTTTAATATCCAATCGGATTATTATCGATTGTGGTGATGGTAATAATTGTTTAATCATTTTGCAAATCGGTAATTGACGAGAATTATTTATGAATAAATTTTCATTACGAAATATTTGTAATTTGATATTTGGTTGTTGTTGCTGTTTTGGCAATGTTGCTGCTGTTGATAAAACATTGGAAAATTGTATGAATAAATCCTTTTGATTTGCATTCAATTGTTGATCATCATGATTGAAATCATCATTTTTTCTAAAATTTTCTGATGATGATTGATGATTTTTAAATGCTGATTTAAGCTCAGTCAAACGATAACCAATACCATTGATGGTGGCAAAATTGGATGTTATATCAATAATGCGACTAAAACAATTGATCAAATATAAACAAATGAATGAATTTGCCGATATTTGACGACTTAGTTCGGCTTCATTTAGTTGATCATATTTTCCTTGAAATAATGGTATCGATATGATTATGAATGAAATGATTGAACCAGAATAATCAAAAATTGTTGTCAAAAAATTCAGATAAAATTGTTGTAAGGCAAGATTTTCATGTATTGAAAGCAAATTACGAAATTTTCCATACAGATTTTGTTTCGTTTGTTGTTCAATATTGGCAAATGCAATATGTTCGCATTTATTTCGAATGACAATATGCTCGGAACGATAAATTCCTTCATGTTTTTCTTTCAGATATGTCCATTTTACAATTGAATTCAATAAAAATCGATTAACAAATGTCGATATAGAAAATATAGCCAGACAAATTAAAACACCTAACCAACCAACAGTAATAAAAACTTTATAGGAATAATATGCTACAATAAATGGAAGTATCACTGATTTCGATATAAACACTGTACATTCTGTGCATAGTTTGGATAAATCTTGACAAAGACGTTGATCAACATTATCCAGATCGGATAAATTTTTCATTATTAATGGCACAGATGATGATCGATCATTGACATTAGCTTCATCTGATGATGATGATGCTTGATTGGAGAAGTAATAATTATTGTTTTCAAAATAATTATCCACAAAATATTTAGTTAAATGTTCACGAAATTCAATTTCAATTATGGTGGAAACATATTGACGAAATGATTTAATTAATGACATAAATAATACGAGGATCATTGTGAATAATAATTGTGTATAAAATTTGAAAATATCTTTCAACAACAATACATAATAAAAGCGTGCTGTTATCAAACCAATTTGAAAGATGATTATCTCTTGAATGATTGATAATAGAATTAAAAATAAAATGTTTATTATTGTCCATTTATATGGTTGTTGTAAATTCCAACATTTTTGTCGTTGTTTATGATCGATTTGTTGATTTTCTTCTTCATCATCTTTATCGGCATCTTTAAAATTAAAAATACCTGCATTATTATTAGATAGGATCAATAAGCGCCAAACTTGAAAAAAATGTTTGATTAAATGTCCTTTCAATTTCTTCTTCACAACCATTCTATTTGCGCTAAATATTTTGATGGTGATGGATGATACGTTGTATAACGATGCTTTAGCAATCGATCAATGATCAACATTTGATTGCGAGGAAATTAAATGGAAAAAATGAATTTTTTGTTTCTTCAAAACAAAATAAAAATGATGAGAAAAACAAAATCAATTTAAATCAAAATACACGCAAGCGCAATAAATTACAGCAGTTCCATCTATTTATTTCAAATAGAAACTTAATATCGATTTTTACTTCGATGAGGTTAGGTTGATGACCATGACTGACTTATAGTCAAGTGAGGTTAGGTTGATGACCATGACT